GGCCCCCCCCCCCCCCCAGCGTTTGGCTGCACACCGTTTCTCCCGGCTACTATAGGTGGCGCTATAAATTAGCTCTCCTAGAGAGGACGCTGTCACCTACCTATCCAGTCTAGGTGTCTCTATGGCTCTCTTTATCTTTCCCAAGATCCTCTGGTACCTTCTCTCTAAACCCAATATGTTCTCCCCAGCACTACTCTTTTTGATACCTGCTTAGCTGTTTTGGAGGGAGGGGCTCTTTTTGCAGGGAGACTCCTCCTAAGCATGTTACTAATTGCAAACAGAGAAAGCCTGGTCTCTGAAGTTAGCCTGCCCCCAGCTCCCTGGCTTGTAGAGGGAGCCAGGAGCTGGGGGATTTAAAGTGCAATTTCCTGTACCTTTTTCATTTCCTGCTGGGGGTTGTGGAAAGCAATAAGCAAGGTGGGTGGCAAGGGCCAGAAGGACTGGGCAGGTGGGGGATGGGCTGGGGGAGGCTTCCCTCCATATACTGTTCTGCCACCTCCCCTTTTGCAGGTCCCAAGATGAGTTTATTGGGGATGGGACACTTGATAACTGAGGCACTCCTTCCAATCCCCCTTTTACCTTCTTTAGGTAGGGAAACTGAGTAGAGAGGAGTGGGAGATGATCCAGATCCAATTATTAGAATAGCGGATGATGGGACAGGAAGGAACCTTAGAAATCAGTTGGATCCCCTCAAGTTTCAGATGAGGAAACTGAGGCCTTGGAAAGGGCACGTAACCTGCTCAATGTCATATATGTAGTAGTGGACCACTGTGGCTGGGATTTACCTGACTCTTCTTGACTCACTGTTTAGAGCTCTTTCCTCAGTCACGGCGGACTGTGGATCAGAGATGTGTGTCCGTATGTGTTGTGGGATGGGGGGAATAAGAAGGAGCGGGGTTTGGAGAGGTATCTGAACAACTAGGGCTCCAGGTCCTGGCATATTTGCCCTTTAGTGGGTCTTGTGGAAGAGCACAGGGTAGTTCTAACACAGCGAAGCCTTTCGTGAGTTGGTTCAGGAAACAGACGTGGATAAAAAGGAGGGGAGAAGGAGGCACCATGGTCCTTGGAAACTATTAGCCCCACATCTCTTCTTACCCTCTCCACAGTCAAAGGTGAATGAGGTGGGGGAGGGGGCACGGCAGAGGACAAAGGAGCCAATTATTGAGTGAGTGGATTAATTGATTAATTGTCCAGAAGCTTCCAGTGCTCCCCCAACAATGACATCCCCTCCCCCGACCCCAGTCAGGCATGGCCTCGGTTGGCCTGGATTATTAATTAGGGCTTGAAGTCATTTAACGATGATTTCATTATCGACGTGCTGTCTGTCTCGGGCTCAGCCCGGTTGCCAGGGCGACTCTGATCGATTGCCTTC